ATGGGACTCTGTTGAAATATTGTAGGGGGCGCAGTTGAGCCGTGTTGCGTTTTACAGCTTGGAGCAGGAGACGTTTTTGTTTGTGCCAACCAGTTCTATATGCCTATGAAATTGTGTAGTTCTAGGGCAAACGTGCTTCTGACAGGACTCCGGCGAAATTTTCAAGGTGGCGCTGTGGAGCCATTTTGGCAGTGATATGTCCACATCTCTGATAGTTTCCGATTTCCACCAGTCCTGAAGTGCATGCCGATTTTGGTGAGTTTTCGAGCACGTTTAGGAACTCAAAAACGCGTTCAAAGTTTGCGTACCATAATAATAATAATCACAAGGGTTTCAATAGGGTCCTTGCACCGTTAGTGCTCGGACCCTAATAATCCGAGCAGTTCCAATAGGGTCTTCGCACCCTTTTGGTGCTCGGACCCTAATAATAATAATAATCCGAGCAGTTCCAATAGGGTCTTCGCACCCTTTTGGGTGCTCGGACCCTAATGAGTAGTTCAAAGACCATCAGAAAGTTCAATATCCAACAATTATTTGTTTTTCCAGTTTCCTGCGTTGATAAATTGTTGCTTTCCAAACCCACTGGTATTGGGGTTCAGAGAGTTAAAGAAAAGATAGACTAGTGTAACGTACCTGAAATGATTTATGGACATGTTTGTATGTTTTTCCAGATGTCATGCAGGTGGAGGTGATCAGAACGTACACAGCCAAGCAGCCAGACGAGTTGTCTCTGCAGGTGGCTGACGTGGTTCTGGTCTCGCAGACTGTAGAAGACGGTACGTTGGGTCTCACCGCCTCCTTCAGCCCATCTCCTTCTCTAGCAGCACTCAGTCTCTTTAATATTCCTCACATTTTCCATCTCCCTGTTTCAACCGCTTCCTTTCATCATGCACTTCTATACACTCTCCCTGTCCTATTCAGCACCTGTCTTATTCCACATAATGGCCCTCGTATCTGTTTGAAGATGTGTTTTAAATCTGCACAAACACCTGAAAGCCAAAGGTCATTCCCCTTTCGGTGACCATAGCAACTGACTTTCATGTTGCAGAACAAAAAAAAAAAAAAGGGACAGTAATAGTAATGAAACAACACAGCATCTTTGATTTTCATATAAATACCATTCCTCTTCTAGGCTGGTATGAAGGCGAGCGACTGCGCGACGGAGAGAGGGGATGGTTCCTAACAGAGTGCGCTGAACCAATCACCTGCCAGGCCACCATCGAACGCAACATGCAGAGGATGGACCGCCTGCAGGGGCTGGAGACTAATGTGTGACAGGACGATAAGCTTCCTCCTTAACCCACGGAGGGCTTTCCCCAAGCCGACAGCGGACCCCGCGACGCACCGGCGACCTGCCCTTTTTGAAGCGCTGAACTCAGACAAACGAGTTCACCAGCAGCATCAGCGACCTGCCTTCAGGGAACCGAGCGGAGCTTCACGGGAGCTGCTGGGTCCTCATAAAGACGAAGCCGCAATTCGGACTTTTGCTCAGCGTCCACTGAATATCAGGCGTGCTGATGAGAACAAACACAGCAGAAGAAGAACACAGATTGCCTTAATTACTGATTGGTCCCTGTGTGGGTGGGATGGTTTGACAGTGGAATCTGTCACATTGATTAACTCCCTGGCTGGTTAGAAAACTTCACACCCACAGCCAAAGTCACTGCTTCTCAACACTCTGCTGCATTAAGAGCCGTCGGTGTGAATTGTGTAAATGTTACTTTGCGAGCATATTCTTTGTAAGAGATGTGCAATGTAATGGGAGCGTACTGGCGCCACTGTAGGAGGTAAAGTAGACCAAATAGTGTGAAACTGACGGCAGCCTGGTGTGTGTGCGCTCTGTTAATGAGGCTCAGGAGCTTTGCCAGTGACAATGTTAACTATGAAGATGTTGATTGTGAAAGGCAAGAGGGTGGGGTAGTGTAGAAACTCATGAGTGTCTAAGCAGCAAGTAAAACCTGTGGCGATATTTACACCAAAATAAAAAAAAAAAGCTACTTGTTTGAAGGCACTTTGCACAAGTCATAATTAATTGAACTATATTAGGAATTCTAGCAGTCTGAGAAGTTTGAGGTCATTCCAGCTTCTACTACATAAGGAGACAAGTTAGCCTAATGAAAAGTACCCACCATCTCTTACGTCGTCCACGAGTTCAGCAGAAGAGCCCAGCGTCTGTTCTCCACCTTGACACCATTTAATGTCACCATCATAAATCTGACTCTGCATTTGTGTCACAAACACCATCATTCTTTCTGTCCACTCAATGATTTGGACCGCCTGAAATGTCACACAACTTGAAGCCAAGCCAGAAATGTGTATATATAAATACCACCCTTCCCCTCCTCTGGGATTTATATTTTGCGATATTAATAGAAACATGCTGAAATTAATTTGCGTGTCCTCGTGGTGAGACCGGAAGAGACGAGCCTGGTCCTGCTTTTAATGTGATTGTCCAGTGTGAGTCATCTTTTTAGTGTTGCCCAGCTAAAGGAAATGAATAGCTTGGTCAGAGAATAATGATAACGCCATCTATCAAGCCCGCTGCTTCGGGCCCGGCCCCAGTGACGACCGCAACTGTTGAGATGCACAAAGCGGGAGGTACGGCAGCGGGAGGCAGAGCACCCGACAAGAAGGACACGAGCATCCAGACTCGGCTTTGCATTTGCACTCAGGGAAAATTACCACAGATCTTTAGCATGAGTTGATCTTGTTTCAATCATTTCCTCTCTTTGTAACTATTGTAAATAAGCTCTGTAAATGTAAATATGTAAAACAGCCTAAACTGCTATGTGTATGTTTTCGTAAATACAAATATATATTGAAGGAAGTTGCTCGCTGCTTCTATATTTTAATCAGTCTCTGTTAATAAAAGCTCAATTACTTGGATCCTGTCGTGCATTCTGAATGATCAATATGATTGTTTTTTCCCCCTGAGCTTGAAGAGAATGACTTCACTGTTTATTCCTTTAGTGACATTTGGTATTCAGAAATGTGCATAAATCCACTTTTTTCAGGTATTTAGGAGATGTCAGCTGTTAAGTCAGCAACAGCTTTGCAAGTGTTTGCTGAAATGAACCCGGGTGATTTTAGTGATTCCTCTCTCTGTCAGCACTCAGAACAAACTGTGTTCTCCTGTCACAGAATCGCTTATGGTGTCCCATCAAAAAGCTCGCAGTACTGCAGAGTAACACTTTGTTTGGAGTTGCTAAACTCCATCGTAGTAAGGCACAAGAAGCAAAGTGAGGCGATGGTACATCTTCTTTATTGCACAGGCCATTAACCAGCGTTGCTTTAAAACAGACTTATCCAAATCAAAACTTTACCAACTAAGCCAAGCAGCTACTGAGTGTATTCAAAGATGGATTGGTCCTTGCAAAATAAGATGAAACAGGCAACAACTAAAAAAAAAAAGAATAATGGTGATCATTCAAGTGCAGAGTGTTTTTCAGTATACTGGCCTCCTGTGTTTTGCCTATAAGAGCACCCAGGGAGCCCTAAAGTTTCAACCAAGCAGAACCATCAAGGAGGCCAACGGTATATTATAAATATTCCCACTGACCCCGTCTTCAAAGATGAAGCCAGTTATTTCAGTGGCTCTTCTATAGCCAGCCAAAGCTCTGGCTAACTCTAATCATCATCATCGTCGTCATCGAAGTACATGTGTTGTCCTCTTGGGGCCGACGCCCACGTCCTGCCGTAGCCCTTGCTGCTGCCTGTGGGCTTCTCCTGGGTAGTGATGAGGTCTATGATGGCTGTGATGACAGCACAGTCTTTAGACTGGCGGTTTTGCCAGTCCACTGGAGCTGGATTACGGATTTTCTCCTGCAGCAGAGAATCCAGCTCGTTCTTTAAACTCTGGGGAACAAACAGGAAGAGAAAAGTTAGTAACGAAATGAATGGAGGCAGATTTGTCGATGCGTGTGCGTCGTTTACCTTAACGAGGTGAGCGATGCGTGCCGGGGATCTGAAGACGATCCACTGGTCCACTGCGATGGTTTCCTGGTCCTCATCTTTCTGGATGGTGATGTCCCCTCCAAAGAACAGCAGAGAGAACGGGGACACCTCGGTGCAATCGTACAGGAAGATCTGAGGGGAGACAGAGATGTCGCTGACACACAACAGGGGCATTACAACAAACACATTAACACATTCAGTGACAGGGAGCGGCATCATTATGACACACCGTGCCCGACAGCTATTCTGTGGTGTGGGCTGAAAGTGTCCCATTAGTGAAGAGAGGCTGTGCGAGTTTGAAATGTGTTTGTGCCTCCAGTGTTAGGAGAAATGTCATCTTGCCCCATCTGTGAATCTCGCTAATGTGTTACACTCGTCCCCATCCATTTTTCTTTGTCTTTGCTTAACTGACAGCTGTTTATGGAGAGCAGTTTGACGAATGACACCCAAAAATGGAAAAAAAATAGTTTTTTCCTTGATGCGTTTTTCACGAGCCAGAAAATGGATGTGATGTAATGCGCTCATCTGTATGCACAACCTCACAAAACCTACTTGGCTATAAGGTCAAAAGCCACGGCGACTGCATAAGCAGCAGACTGAGGTCAAACAAAACTTATTTCAGCTTTGAAGGTAACTGGCGGAGTGTCGGAAATGAGCGTCAGAGAGAGGTAGAGAAAGGTGGAGGGAGTGGGTAGAAAACAAGGTAGAAAGCAAGGAGAGAGCAGGGACGACTGCATTTACTCCATGAATGTGTAATGTAATGGACCACCAGGGGCAAGTGCGTCAGAGAAGATAAAGTTTAACGTCATCCCTCACTTTCATTCCTTTTATTCTTTCTACGGCCCTGCTCTTCCGCTTCCTTCTCTCAGTAAACAAATGACCTTGACAGTCTCACACTCTCAGAATACCTTACTTTTAAAAGACACAAATGCTCAGCGCTTTGCACAAAATCCCTCACACGCAACAAGGAAAAAAAAAAAGAAACACATTTAATGACAGTGAAATACAGCAAAACATTTTTCTTCCTGAAGACAAAGGCAGCAAAGTGAGAGACAAAGGCAGAGGCAGCAAACAGAGAGGACATGAAAGGTGTTTTTCTGCGGAATGGAAACATTCACAAAAAGAGACAGCACAGAAAGAACAAAGACAGATAGATGGAAGGGAGAGGAGAATGTGAATGTGAAGAGGGGCAAAAAGAAAAAAGAGAAGAAGAAAAAAAAGAAGGGTGGCAGTCAGGAAACTGCATTGACCGTTTTGCCCCCCCCCCCTCCCCTCCCCTCCCTCTATCCAACCCCACCACCTCTTACATTGTGTCTGGAAGCTTTGAAGCACAAGAGCCTTTGAGAGCGAGTTGAAAGGCCGTGTTTTAATCAAATATTCATTAAGTGCAAAGCTGGTGTGGCACCACCGCCAACCTTTAACCGCTGGCCCTTCTTTCCACTCACGTGCCACTCTTCAGAGCGACACATGCAAAAAAATCAAAAAGACACAGACGTAGAAACTCGCAATATCCACACGGCAGCGGTGAAACGCTGCGTAACAACCCGGCTGTTACTCACGCTGCTCGTTCTCATCTTGAGGTGGTAAATAAGCCACGTATAGTTGAACTCCGTCTCTTCGGCGTTGACAGATTTCGGGTGGATGCACACTTTGCCGTCAGCCTGGGTGTAAACCTTAACACTGAGAAAGATAAGACGGTAGAGAGTGTAGGCGTGTTGGTTAGGAATAATGGAAACGTCACATTCCGAACTCTTTATGAAAAAAGCATATTTCTTATTAATCTCTTTTTTTTCTCAACTGACAAGAGAACACAAAGAGGAGGCATTTATCGCAGCTGAAGATGGGAAAGAAACCACTCTCCAATCATTACATGAAAGTTTAAAAAAAAAAAAAAAAGAATCTGCAGAGAATAAAGCTGAAAATATACAGAGATGAATGACATTTCTGATTTGAAGTTAATGCTTTGGTCATGTATGGAACAAAATTACAGCCATTAGCTTCTGTCTTATCGCAACTCAAGGAACCAATTATGCAAAAAGGACAAATGAATCAATGATACACATAAATGTTATTTCAAACCAGGAAGTTAGCTAACCAGACCTCTGTATCCCACCACTCATCTTTGCTACATTAGCTGCTACTTTCATAATATCTATAAAAGTCTGAACCGTCAAGCCACCAAGGCTGAGTTGCACAGTGTGTAATCTTGGTTTGACAAAAAAAGAAGAATGAAATGGAAAAAAATAAGATTTTTTTTTGCTACATTGATTTTTATTGGTTGTAATTGTCCAATGTGAATGCAGCAGTGTTGCAGGAGCACAATGCTACACCAGTGGAGTATTCTTCCAGAATATTTAAATGCTTGTCAGAGACTTTCATCTTATTTCAGCGTTATATTGTGTGCTCTTTTTTTTTATAAAAGGTGTACAATTTTATATCTTTGAATGCCGACTATGTGTGTGAGTGTTTCTATTCACATATTGTCACATTGTCTGGCCAATTGTGTGGAAAAAGTCACCAGCAGCAGAATAAATGTTTCTTCAAAAAAAAACGACTCAGAAAGTTTACTTCACCAGCTCATCGGGTTATTTTGTCTCGCTAATACAATGCACATCGAAAGTAACACCGTGTTCCAAACTCCTGTGTGTCAGCCAGACAGACCTGACTGCAGGGAACAAGCTGCTCGTACCAGACAGCGGTCCGACTTAGCAACAACACAAACAAGAAGTGCTTAATCGAGCAATGAATTCATTAAAAAAATAAATAAAAATACTGAGGAGCTTTGGTGCAGACAAGAAAATTTACAGCTGGCTATGGTGTCGCAACTGTTGAGAATTACTTATGCCGGGGAAGTGACCCTGGGAAAAATCACTGTGCACCTGGTTCTAAAGCTGTCACTGAGACAGACAAACAAAGTGACAGCACGGCTTTGACAGAAAGAGAGTCTGTGCCCCTGTTGCGTGCATCTGTCTTTTGCACACAGGTCACAGCCACTGCATATGACAGCTGCCTTGGGGCAATTTCATGACTGCATTGATCTCGAGCTGCAAAAGTGGCTCTGTATTTTTTTTGACAATTTCCCCGACGCGCTCTCTGCGCAGCCTCGGATAACCGTCACAGAACCCTTGCTGAACTCTTACCTGAGAGGTTTGATGAGATATTGTAGTGTGAAGGCTATTTTTCTATCTGAAGATCAATAAGAATGATTGTGCACTTCTCTATCTTGTGCAGCGCAGCCCTTTCCTGTCTGTCATAGCTCATCCCTCTCCTTGGATTAGCAGACTCACCCCGGCCTCTTTTTGCTGTGAGATGGTCTGATCATGGCCACCTTAGGGTACAGACCGGCAACTATCACCGCCTTGATTAATTTCTCATTATCTGTGAAAAGAAGTGACAGTTAGAGGACGAAAAAATGCCCAACGTCATATTTTATTACTGCGCCACAGCCCAGTTGTCGGGTTCATAAGAATGAATGAACGTAAAAACCTCCTCCTAGTTACCGGAGTTGACGTTAGATTTGGGGTCTTTGGGGTCCTTGCTGCTGACGAAGCCTGTGTGCATGAGGTGTTCGGCAAACTGGCCCTTCATGTTGTGCAGCATCTGAATGATAACAGGAAAAATGACTTCTATAAAGACTTCATATCCTTCACCGGTTACACGGAAGTCGAACTCAAATTACAGTCGTGGACCTCCCCCCATGTGTTTCCCACAGAGCACTTCAGTGCAGGGCTCAGCAATCAGCCAGACTCACCTGGAGTGTATTGGCAGACAGGAAGTTGTCCCAGCAGTACTCCCTCTCATACCTGGCTCCACGCTGCTTCGCTTCCTCCCAGCCCTGGCCAAATGAATGCATGATAAATTAAGAGAGGAACCAGCAAACGGAGATGAAACAAATTCAGGTGCGACAGATGATAGGGCACTTTTTTGTTACC